GGTGCAACGGAATCCTTGCAAGAAGAACAAGAAATTGTCGTTGCCTTTCAAGAACAACTAGAATTTCTCAAATCAAACATTCAGCAAAAAAATGATCTGATTGATCATATAAAAGAAGACTTAGATGATAAATCATCCCTTCAACAAAGATTGAGAGACAAAGAAGCAGAAGCGTTATCATTTAGAACAAAACTTATGGACATTCAAAATAAAATAGTTTATTTTCAAAATGAAAAAAATGACCTTGTTATGTGGCTTCGGAAGTTAGAAACCGGAGGTAATATAAATAAAGATATTGAGACTGAATTGCAAGTCCTAAAAAAGGAAATCATACAAGTTCGTGAAAGAGAAGCTACAGCACTGGAACGGCTTCGAGTTCTCAAATCAAGTATAACCACAGAAACTGAAGACAATCATCTTCATGAAGAATTGGAAAGTTTACGCAGTATAGAAAGTGCACAGCAAGAGAAAATAAATGACCTCGAAAAAAAAATTGCTGAAAAAGGAGATAGTGTTGATGAGGAAATTGTAAAAGTAAGGACTGAATTAGCAATAGTTAGAAAGGCTCAAGAAAAACAAAGCAATGTGATCGAAACACTTGAACAGAAATTAAAGATTGCAGAAGATAAATCACATGTAGCTGCAATTAAACAAGAAATTAATGACTTGAAAACACGAGAAACTGAAAATTTAAAGAAAATACAATCTATAGAATTAGAATTACGTGAATCTGCTATCCAAGATATGCAGCAAGCTGAAAAATTGAATGAAGAGATTAAAAAATTACGTGGTCATGAACGGGAACAACGTAAGCGAATGGAATTTCTTCAAACACGGTTAGAATTGGCCGAAGACGAAAATCCAGATATATTCTCCTTAAAAAATCAAATATCCGAGTCCAAAACTTCAGAAGCAGAACTCCAAAAAAAAGTTAATGATTTAGAAGCTAAATTTGCAACCATTCAAAAAGAAACGAAGATTTTTGGAATGGTAAAAGAGGAAGTAAAGTTCTTGAAAGAATTAGAGGTTGAGCAGAAATCCACAATTGATCAATTACAATCACAATTAAATAAAATGAAAGAAATTAGGGAGGTCGCCATCAAAGAACTATCAACAATGAAAGGTGGATCTAACCTTCAAAAGAGACGTGTTATTTCTTTAGAAGAAGAAATGAAAAGATTAAGACAGGAATTGGAACTTGCTAAAAATGACACTAATTCATCGTCTGAGAAATATGAAGAACTTACGAACTTATTGAACAATACTCATAAGCAATATGAAGAGTCATTAAAACGAATAAAACTTTTGGAAGGTGAAGTTGAATCATTCAAGAATGATGGAGTCGCAAGTGACGAAAAAGTTGCAACTGTGAGAACTGAATTGGTTAATGCAAAACTTGAGATGATGACACAAAATGACAACGTAGTCAACTTAGACAAGCAGATAGGTGCAACTGAGAAAGAACGCGATCAGAGTGCGCAACGAATTAAAGAGTTAGTAAACACACTTAATGAAAGAGAACCTAATCAAAAAGATGCTATCAGAGCACTTGAATCTACGTTGACAAATTTTGAATCCAAAATTCTCGAAACAAAAGTTGAATCAGATGTAAATAAGGAAACTATTACACTTATAGAGGAAAAACATGGGATTGACGTAGTTCTTTATTTAAAATCAACAAATTGTTTGTCTCTGGGTCCGTGGATCCTTCTAATTCATTAATTTTGATGGGATTTTTGGCTTCTTCCAGTGTAGCTTCCATCTCGGCAATTATACGCCTTTGTTTCTTACATAGTTTATCACTATCTTCAAATTTCGAAGCTGCATCTGCGAATTCGTCTGCCAGAGTTTCAATATCCTTTTGAAGCTGATCCAATTCTTCTTCAAGATCTTCAT